TGCCTGCTTTCCCTTTCGCCTCCCTGCATTGTGCCTACATATGCAAATTAACCGCCATCTTGTTGGCAGTTAACTGCCAATCTTAGTTGGCAGTTAACTGTCAATCTTAGTTGGCAGTTAACGGCCAATCTTAGTTGGCAGTTAATTTGCATATAGCCGAGATTAGCCAATGAAAAGGGTATTGGTCGTACACCAATTACCATTTTTGTCTTTTATTATATAGGATAATGATCAGGCTGCTTCGAGCACCAATAGCAGAAAGCGCACACACACACACACACACACACACACACACCAGCCAGCCTGGCTGGGATTACAAACAGGACACTGGGCTGCCTGGTTTTCTTCCAGACGCCAGGTGTGGAATTCAGCTCTGCTCCGCTGCTGTGTTGTTTTCGTCCACATATTGGCATCATCCTCAGGCTGGTGCCAAGAGAGCTCTGCATTCCAGGCCTCGCAGCCAGATCTGGACCTGGAGAAGCAGCCCACCCCACCCTGGGGAGCTGCCCCAGCAGCCTCCCCTCAGGTCTCATTGGCCAGTGCGCCCACTGTTCAACCAATCCCTGGTTAGAAGCAAGGGACTGCCTGAGAGGCTTGGACCAATCAGGAGATGGGGAGAGAAGGGGATGAAGGCTGCGGGACAGGAGATGGAAGCCCCGAATATTAGCGGTGACTTTCTCTCTGGTTAATTGGAAGATGGATGAATTTTACTCTTCTTTTTGAATCTGTCTAAGTTTCTATAATAAATCTATTCTTTTTTAAAAAATTGGAAATGGAACCAAAGTCATTCTTGGGACAGAGAGAGAAGATTCAGCAACTGAAAATCCAGAAAAAAATGGCTTAATGCACAGCCAGGCACTACTTACAATGGCAATAGGACCGCATTGGGGTCTGTGTTCAGACACCTGGACACCCGGGGCCACACCGCCCCTCCAGGTGGTTCAAAATCGAGATTTCTCTCTCACTCCCACCTGGGGATTAGGGGAGGTGCTACGACCTCCTACTGTCTGATGTGTGTCAAGGGGACACAGTCCCCTCCCACACTCCCCTTCCTGCAACACAGAAATCTCACCTGGCACTGCCCTCCCCTCCACATAGCCTTTCCTCCCCTTAATCCTAGGCCAGTGGTTCTCAACCTTTTGTCCCTTTAAATACAGTTCCTCATGTTGTGACTCAACCATAAAATTATTTTCGTTGCTACTTCATCACTGTCATGTTGCTACTGTTATGAATTGTAATGTAAATATCTGATATGCAAAGATGGTCTTAGGCGACCCCTGTGAAAGGGTCGTTCGACCGCCAAAGTGGTTGCGACCCACAGGTTGAGAACCGCTGTCCTAGACAAATGCTGTTTGATAGAACTTCTATGGCAATGATGGAAATGTTTTATATCTTCTCTGTATAATGTCACAGCCTCGAGTCAAGTGGGGCTATTGAGCACCTGAAAGTGGCTGGTTTAGGGGAACTAAGTTTTATGAGGCATCGAATTTTAATAAATAAACATATATATATAGTTTTGTTGTTAATTCTCACCTAAGGATATTCTTCCCATTGATTTTTAGAGAGAGTGGAAGGAAGGGAGGGAGGGGGAGAGGAAGAGAGAAACATCAATGTGAAAGAGACACATCGATTGCTTGCCTCCCACACAAACCCCAACCGGGGCCAGGGTCAAATCTGCAACACAGGTATGAGCCCTTGACAGGGAATGGAACCGGAGCCCTTTGGCGTATGAGCCAGTTCTCTAACCACCAAGCCACACCTTCCAGGCGTAAATTTATAGTATAATCGCCATATGGTATTAGCACAACCCTGGACTCTGTCCCAACAGAGCTCAAAACTATAACTGACCCCTCCCACTTCTCCAGCCACACGCCCCCTCCCATGGGGCTGCCCTCAACTTGTCCAGGATTTAGCAGCTTCCTCAAAGCACCTCCAGGGCATGCAGCCTCAGGAGCCTTTGCTCAATTGTGCTGTTTACACTCACCTCACCCCCCCCCCCATCCCTTCTCCTACTCCAGATCTCAGCTGTCCCCTCCTCCAGGAAGCCCTCCCTGCCCCTCAAGCTGAGTGAAGCATCCCCTTGGGTTCTCCGAGCCCCCGAGCTCCTCCATCCCAGTGCTTATCACTCTGCATCGTCCTTACCCGGTGTGTCTGTCCCCCCGACACACAGACATGGAGCCCCCACCGTGGACTGAGAGCAGGGCAGGAGTTGTCTAATCATCACTGTCCCTGCCAGCACCATCCAGCATGGAGCTGGCATAGGGAGGTGTGTTGGGATAAATGAATGAATGAATGAATGAATGCTTTTTAAAGGGCCAGAAGGTTGAGAACCACTGGTCAAGGATTAAGGGGAGGAAAGGCTATGTGGAGGGGAGGGCAGTGCCAGGTGAGATTTCTGTGTTGCAGGAAGAGGGAACACCAAATTGGGAGGGGAGTGTGTCCCTTTGACACACATCAGAGAGCAGGAGTTGTCTAATCATCACTGTCCCCAGCACCATCCAGCGTGGAGCTGGCATAGGGTGTGTGTTGGGATGAATGAATGAATGAATGAATGCTTGTGAAAAACCATGCTAAGAGCTTTAGAATGAGCCAGCCCCAAGTCAAATCCCACCTCCCCCTTCCGGTAGGCCTGCCACCCTCCTCATCCTCAGTTTCCTCATCTCTGAAATGGGAGAAGTGAATCATGGCGGATGCTGGATGAGGCAGTAGTGTGTGTCAGGCCTGGGGACGGGGCATTGCTTAACCGGAGGCCACTGTAACTGT